AGCACGAAGCATGTCTAGGGTTGCACTGAATAATTTGCTTAAAAATGTTCCATCAAAACAAATGCCGGTAAAATAAGTGTGACTACACATCTAAAGAGAACAAGATTGTAGATCAAGGAACCTAGTGATATATTCGTGTTCATCACATCCCATGATTAATCACTCGGCCTAAGTTAGGGTTAATGTTAGGGTTAGGTGACAATATGGTTTAGGCCAATTTGTTAATGCAAGTAAACAAATGACAGTTTTTTATAATTTCACGTGATGCGATAATCAATGGGTTTCAGTGTCCCCGAAGCATTAAAAATAAAAAAAGCTTACCCGAAAATAAAAAAATTGCATACTTATACCGCAATCGCTCTTTGACGATCCTACTTCAAATGCCATATAAACTATACTATCATATATACTATCATATGTATTCGTTCCTGGTATAAGCGCTAATGTGAATAATATTTATTCGTGAAAAACTTATACAGTAAATGCCGAAATCAAAAGTTTATCGAATTTGGGCGAATTAATGCCAGCCAAATTTTTATCAGTTGTCCTGGAATTTATGAGGTCTTAGAATTTATGAGAAAAGCTGTAAAGCATTTGAGTTATCCTTTAATCATCGTTATCGTTATGATAAGGTAGTTATGATAAGGTAGTTATGATAAGATAGATTTCAAATTTTAGTTTTAATTCATAATGTTTGTAAGTTTTCTTTTGATTATACACGTAGATATCTGATATACGGTCAACTATAATGAACTCTGGATATAACGAACTAAAATTCTTAAATTTTGTATAGAAAGAATTATGGTTTCTTAAGAAACAGTAATTGTGTATTGTGAACTTTTTTATCAATAAAAAAAATTACTAAAGATCCATCTCACTTAAAACTATTTACTAAAAATTGTACCAGATTGAATTACGAAGTGTTCAAGATACTAAAATAAATCATAATTTGAAATTTGAAATTTGAACGTACATTTTTCAACAATAAGTCCCTTTTTGGTTTCTAAAAGTTTCAAGATGTTGCAACCATTTTTTGATAATAAATTTTTTTTTCATTAAAAGTGTTCATAGTTTTGAATATAATGACACCCTACACCCTATGTAGATTGTAGATTATGGTCAACTGTTTCGACATGGTAAGAAAATTTTTTTACATATAAAAAATAAGTGAAAAAACAGCTATTGAATAATTGTATATAAAGATTGCCTAATAATCAGATCCGACATCATACGGGCGACGCTAGGGTTTGTCCTTTTTTATAATGACAAAATTCTAGCACGAAAACGCACGAAAACGAATATCATTTCACAACATTCAGATCCAATATGCAACGAAATTGATACTAGAAATCATATGATTGGCTTCATGTAACAGTTATTGTACGGCTCTGACGTAACAACCCGTACGACACTTTTCATTTCAATAAAGTCAAATTTAAATTGCATTAGTAACTGATAGTACTGCAATAGTATAAATAAAAAAGAATCTAATTATTAATTCTTCATTCTTACTAACAATGTCGTGATCTCATTAATGAATTTTTTTAAAAAAGCGTAGAACTAAAAATTTAATAACTTGTGAATGTGATAAATTTATAAAGAAAACATACGACTCAGTCTAATAAGAACTTAAAGAATACGAAAATTTAATAGCGCGCAACTCCGTCCAAGTAAATCTAAAAGGTGCTTATCTAATAAGAATTTTAAAGAAAGTAGAAGCATGACTTATCTAATAAGAATTTTAAAAAAAAGAAAATGTGCGATTCTGTCTGATAAGAATTTAAATGCATGACTTCATTCATCCATTTATCCATCCAAGACAGTTTTAAAGACAGTTTTAAAGACAGTGAAAACAAAACTAAATTAAAAAAGTAAAGATCTAATGTTGTTAATGTTGTTAATGTTGTGACCGTCCAACATTTTAAAACGTGATGAAAAACTACGCTAACAAAAACAACTCAATTAAATCTTCTGATTTAGTTCTTTTTTTTAAACACCTACCATAAATGTATAAAACAAAACACGTGCTGTTGTGTCTGATCCATGTAATAACTATAAAGAATTATACATTTAAAATTTAACTTTGTTGATATGTGTGTAAAATTGCAATTTTGTCTAATTTCTTGAATGTTTATATTGCGTATGCATAGTACAGTTACACTAAATCAGCAATATCGATAATTTAAGCTGTTTCGGACTTTTTGTAGTGATACCGACATCATTTCTTTAAAATGCAAAATGAAAAAAATTTTGAATAGTATATTTAGCCGTACAAATTCATCTAAGAAAGATGACTCTAATGCAATATATAACCTTGGATATAATTACCA